GCTTAATAAAAAAAAAAAAAAAAACAAACCAAAAAATGAAAAATAAACAAAAAAAAATCATACATGATAAATCATCTTGGCAACAGATTGGTTCCTTCAGGCCAAACAGTGCTTCTTGACTTTTTATACAGCAAACGGGGGGGAAAGAAAAACCAAAAATAAAAGTTAATTTGTTTTTTTTTTTTTTTTAACCCTGAACAGCTCGACAACACCACAAATCTCTGGGCACCACCACACAGTTCCACTGGAAGATCCTTCACTACGGTTTCATCCTGGGCGCCCCCCCCTCGCGCCTCCGTGGGCACGCTGCCCACCTGTCCATCCGTCCGTCTGTCTGCCCAGGGTATCCTCACGTCCGGATGACGCCGTTGCAGGGGGGGTGCTTGGGCAGGCAGGGCTCATCGGGCAGCAGGTCATGTGCAAAGACCGAGTCGTCCCCCGAGGAGCAGGTGCTATGGGTGTCCTGGCCGGCTGGCGAGTACTGCTCGAAGGGCACTGAGAGGTCCAGGTACTCCTGCCGGGGCGACAGACCCATCAACGCTGGGTGCCCCCCGCTGGGGACCGAGCAACCCCTCCCCGCGCCCATGCCGGCACACTCACATCGGTGGACGTCACGGTGAGGACCCTGTCCAGGTCTTCCACCAGCTGCTTGAAGGTGGGCCGCTGCGAGGGGACAGCGTGCCAGCACTCCCGCATGATCATGTACCTGCACGGATGGGAGAGGGGAATGTCACCCATGGTGGAGCTAAAGAGTGCCCACCCACCCCCAAATCACCCGAGAGAACAGCTATGGCCAACGCAACTTCAGCCATGGTGGCCCTGGTGCGTGGTCAGCTTGGGATAGTAGGAGGAGGGTTTTGTGGAGCTGCGGTCCTCACTATTGATCTCCTCACGTGCGTTGGTGCTCTCAAAGCAGGAGGAGGAGCTGTCCTAAAGGTGACACACCAGAGCTGCACCCCCAACCGCCAACCAAGTCATGGGCTGAGCCGAAATGTGTCAGGGTGTGTAAACCTACCCGCTGCCAGCTCCACAATCTCACAGTGGGGATATCCCGCCGGCCTGAACCACGGCCTGGGGTGGCATTTGGCTGCAGAGGGAAGGGGGAGCAGGGTGAGGAGGTCACCCCCTACCACACACTCACAAATCATGGGTGCAGTTTGCAGGTTTGTCCATCCGATGGCCTTCCTTTAAGAGTTTGAAGAGTTCCTCAACAGGAATTCCCGGGTACGGAGACCCTCCCAAAGTGAAGATCTCCCATAGTAGCACTCCAAAAGACCAGCTGGAAACCAAAGAAAGATCTTTAAAATTCAATGAGTTTTTTTTCCAAGTTCCCCCCTCATATCCCCTCCCCCCAGCTCGGCTTTATTTCTGTGCAGCCATGCATAGCTAACAAAGTCATCAATGGCATGACTAATTGCCTAGGCCATTTTTACTAGTTACTTGGAGATCTCTGCTGATCCAACTCAATAGCAAAGAAATCCCAGGCACCAAGTCTGAAATTGAAATGAGCATTTAATCAGATAGGTGACAGCCCATCTATTACCCCTAGCTCTTTGTTAGGTCTTCCACCAGCTCCACTGAATGGAACAAATCAAATTATTCATGCACAGCTTCACTGAATTGCAGGCTTGGAACCACAGGCCACTAATTGTGCAAGCTGATACCAAAACTTGCTTGTTACAACACTCATTTCACTGGCCAAGCTGAGAGAAAAATACCCCAACAAAAATCAGCAGAGCACTAATGTTACACACTCCACTCCCGCAGCTGTGCTCTAGTTAAAAGTCCTCTTTTTCAAAACTATCTTTTGCCTTCTTCGTTTTCTTTTTAAAAACAGGGATTATCTGTCTCTGTTTCCTTCCACGCACGCTTGCTCTCCCGTTCTCTAGCTTTGATTTATCTGTCATGCCTGCTGCAGCATTACCTAAGCATGGAAACTATGACTTAAGATCAATAAAAGCCAAAGTATGTGAAAAATACATAAATAGAAAGATTCATTTGTCCAATTGCAAGCAGTGAGACTTCAGGAAAAGGCAGGCTGGCTGCTGAATTACTGTAAAAATGCCATTATCGACCAAATATTAAAATAAAAAAGCTGGTGTGCATGCCACGCTACTTCAGTCCTTGCAAAGTTCAGATGTGATACTGATTTACACGTAAGGCAGGCTCTGCTGTTTGCTTACCATGCAGAGGCACAAAACCAGACAAGACAGGTTTAAGAAAAATAAAGGCAAATAAATGAAGCAGCAAAATTAATCTGAGAATATATCTGTTGAATACTCTGATCAACTCTACTAACGGCGGACAGAGTATTTCAAGCTCATCCCACATACTCAGCTGAAGCGTAACTGTCTGGGGCAAAGCATAGAGGAAGCTGAGGGTAATTTGTTTTGCATGGATTTTTTTTTGCACAAATTTTTTTGACTGCAAGGATGAACTCCTCATCTATAAACTGGACAAGAAATACCTGCCTGCCTTCCAAATAATTCTTCAACAGCTCACTAGACATCCTTGGATGAAAGCAACTAGATAATGGTAAAATAAAACCACCTGTGCAAAGCTGTAGCTTGGAATCGATTTATTTGCTTTTGCATCCCCAGGCGCCCCAGCAGTGAACAAGCCCTGCTCGTGCTTAGCAGTACATTTGTCTTCAAGATACTATAGGTGTTGATTTCCCCGTTGTTTTATTTTTTTTGAAAAGCGCGGGTATGCTTACACATCGCTCTGGTGAGTATAGACCCGGTCAAACAAGGCTTCTGGAGCCATCCATTTCACAGGCAGCCGACCCTGTAATTAAGAAGACAATGGGAACATCCCATCAGCATATTCCCCCAGCCACAACGGCACCATCTGAATCTTCTTTTCTAATCCAGTTTGAAACATTTTCATTAACAACCACATCTGCCTTCCCGGTCACCGGGCAAAGCAGTAGTGGCCACATATAAACAGATTAGAGCATTTGATCCCTGGATTTTCGCTGACAATCTTTGCAGTAAATGCTCTCTGTAGAGGACTGTATTTCACTGCCAAGGCAGGTTTAACATATCAGAGCATCTAAATCTTTGCATGGGAACAGCATCCACTGCTCATAAATGCAGCGAGCTCTGCAGCAGAGCATGAGACACTTTCCATCTCTTTGGTTAGAAGAAGCGGTTTGACTCCAAGTCCAAACCCTGCTTAGGCTGATGTTGAAGGGAACTTCCAAGAGTGAAGGCAAGGGCCAGATCCTCTAAGAATCAAATCCTGATCCCACTGGAGGCCAAAGGAGGAGGCCTGATCCCAGGTTTCCAGGGGAACATCCTACATCAGGGTCATAAACATGGGCTGTCACATATGAGAAATAAAGACTAGATTAATCATAATTCTTTTGGGCTTTGGCCCCTGGAGGGAGTCAGAAAGGACTGTTTCACATCTGAGGCATAATTTGGCTATGGGAGGGCTCTGTCCTCTTCTGAACTACTGTCTCATTGAGGGAGACAACTAGAGATGGGGCAGAGGCAGGATGCACAAATGGGATTATGCTCCCAGCTGTCCAACACAGCTCAAACAGGAAAAATCCATCTGATCTACGATTAAAATTCCCAAGAATTTTTATTAATTTATGATTAAGAAATCCCAGCAATTAAGAAAGATTTCTGATATGATATTGGAAAGGATCAGTATGGGCATGGTGGCCTTTGTAGGACTGCCTGGACATTTAGACCCCTTGCTGTCACAAGGCTCCCAGGTCCTGCAATACCCTCAGCCTCTTCCACTGTCACCTCTGCACTCTGTTGTAGTTGCGGCTTTTGCTCAGAGCTCAACATGTGCTGCAGGGCTCTGAACCAAGACACAGGTCTCCTCTCCAGCCCTTCATTCATAAATTCATCTCTACAGAAAATATAAATGCCTCCAGGACTCAGGCCTTGTCTGGGACTATCTTCTCACCCTTGGCAGTGCAACCAAAGAGCTCAGTTGTAAAAAGGAGAGAGAAATGCATGAAAGCCAGGTAGCTTCAGGTATACAAAAAGTGACATTCCTCTGTCAAGGGCTCTGGTGGGAGACAAGTTGGCTCCTTGGCACCTTTATGAACAACAGTGGAGCAGACTGGAAAGTGCGCCATTCCCCTTTGGTAAAAACCTTGGTTTCTCTTAATCTAGAGCCTCCTGGCCAGAGCCAAGACCTCTCAATAGGCTGTTAGCACCAGCAGTATCTGTCAGGCAGAAAACAGATGGTGGGTGGACTCCTGGGGCCATCCTGTCTACAGCCCCTCACGGGGTGAGGCCACCGGCAGATTTCTTTCTCCTAAGCCTCTCTAGACAGGGAGATGCAGGACAAGGGCCACTTGCTGCAGGGATGGCTGAATTCCCTGCCAGAAGGAGAACTGCACATGCTTGGCAGCTCTGTACTTACATTGGTGGTTTTCTTGTAATAGTCGATGTTGTGAACGTCTCTAGCGAGGCCAAAATCAGCTATTTTCATCACATTGTCTTCAGTGACTAACACGTTCCTGGCTGCCAAGTCGCGATGAATGCACTGTGAAAGGTGAGCAAGTCAATAAATAAGGGCTTGTTAGCTGCCTGCCCTTGGAACCAACAGCACCGTCTGGTTTATAAGCTGCCGTTTCATTGACTCCCAAGCTCATAAAGCTGTGGGCACTGCTTAACTCCTCGGTTCCTGTGTCACTGCCCCATCATGCATGCTCGGTGGGAGCCACCTCTTAGCAACACCTAATCGGCAGCCTCAGCACTGTCACAGCCACACATCTTTTCTCTCCAAAGGGGATGCACGGATGAGAAAGCCAACCCTCCTCTTCTGTGGGTGCCTACTGGGCTGTGAAGTTGTCTTTCTGCCCTGCTCTTCCTCCAGGAAGAGGAGTGCAGGCTGATGTTTAAAGGAAAAAAATCCTCAAATTAAGATAACCCCAATACATCCAAAATACATGGAATCATAGAATGGTTTGGGTTGGAAGGGACCCTTAAAGGTCATCTAGTCCAACGCCCAACATCATGGTTGTTAGCTGAGAAAGAAGCTAAATTAGCTGCACTGTGCAGAAAGGGAGTTTAAAACCACCATGAACCATCCACCCTGAACTGCAGTCACAGGATGAACCCATCTGACATCTGAAGCTGAACTTGCTCTTGGCGTAGTGTTTCCTGCCCGCAAAAAGAGGTCACGCTGGCTGGTACACAGCTTCCTGAACCCGAAGCCTGATTCTGCACTTGCTGATGTCAGGGTAAACCAGGACTAATCCCAGGGTATGATGTAAGCAAAGGCAGCAGCTGGCTCAACGCCAGTAAAGTGCTCCCCGGGGAATGTCCTGGGCACGGCCATGCATCAAGCCAAATCCACTGCCAGCTCTGCTCCTCACCGAGCTGGTGACAGCTAGGAAGACATGAGCTACACCCAGGATCTCAGCTTCCTCGTAGGTGCTCTGCCTCTTTAGTAATCTCAGAAGGGAGACGAGGGGGACAGGGGTGCACACAGCTCCTCACTATTGTCTAAAGTAACGTCTCTCACAGTGGAAGCTCACAACTTGGTGTGATGCTCACCCTGACCACTGCTGCCCGAGCCTCAGGATTGCACATCTGAAAGCCAGTTACCTCTCCGAGTGGTAGAGGCTGAATTGCTGAGGAACTGCACCAAGGTCTGGGTTGCTTGTGCTTTTGTATGCATTCTGGGGATGCTAACAGGCCTGCAGGTTACAGCGAGGGCTGTGCAGCTGCGTGGCTCATGGATGCAGCCGGCATATCGAAACTTCTGCATACGGCCGAAGCCTTCTGCAAAAAACCCAAGATACTTCATACTCAAAAATCTGGTCTCTAAAGGGAGAAGCCTGCAACGCTTTGCCCGAGTTGTCCTACACACACAGAGCACTGCATGCCTTTGAACACATGGGCCTGACCGACACTTCTGAGGTTTCTCAACTCACTTTCTGAGATGCCAAGTACTCCATGCCACGGGCCACCTGGTAGGCGCAGGAAACCAGGTCTTTAAATGTCAACTGCTCCTCTGGCAGCTTGCAGGTGTCGAAGGAATAGTCCATGCCAGGTGGGCGACGTGCCCTGAGGTATTCCCGCAAGTTCCCCTTCGATGCATATTCCACCAACACGTAGAGCGGTCCTGCAAGCAAGAGCACATCAGCATCCAGCGAAGGAACAGCTGACCACCAAAGTCTCCTCTGGGACCTTTTGGGCAGCCAGTGAGTAATTACACAGAAGGGACAGGCAAACCTGAGCCTCCCACGGCCCTGCAAGCACCGGGCAGCTTTGCTACGTACCATCCTGCGTGCAGGCACCGAGGAGGTTAATAATGTTTTTGTGCTTCCCAATCATTTTCATCATTTCCATCTCAGAGACCAGGTCGGAAAGGTCCTTGTCTGTGGCGTCATCTGGAGAAAGCAAGAGAGGAAAGCAAACAAATGTCAGGAAGAAAATAAGTGTTTTGTGAAGTAGTTAATACAACTGCTGCGTAGCCATGAGGGGCTTTGATAGGGAAACAGTACTCAAAATATGGCAGTGTTTGTTTTTATTCTACTTTGGGAAGAAGAATAAAAACAAAACCAAAAAATACTATCTCAAAAAAAGAGAGCGTAATTGTTCAAGAAGAAAAAACAAATATATATAGAGAAATGTTCATATGGAAATCAATAAAACCTTTCCTCTGCTGTTTCATCCTGATAAGTATTAAAGAAAAAAAGTCAGTTTTGGTACCTGGCACCATTTTCCATTTCTGATTTTTCCCTCCCCCATCTCCAGGGGCAAAGAGTTAAAGATGGGGGAAAGTCAGAGCTGGGAGAGGTACTAGAGGAAGGAACGTATGTTTTGCATGGCAAGCTGTAATTCTTCTACAGAAGTAGAAAAATGGGGGAAAACCTCCCCAAATGAATGCTTTTGTTTGGAAAGATGGAAATGTTCCTGCTTCCAAAAACAACTTCAGAATGGACTGAAGGAGATCTAAATTAAAAGAATCTTCTTCTGATAAGAATTTTTTTTTTAAAGATGTCGCCCCGTGTAACCTCAAACCCGCGCTGTTCACTGTTGGAGCATCCGCCCTGCTTGCTCCAGCTGAACTCCTCGGGGTGATTTTGTCTGTGTGTTGCCTGTGGTTACTGTGCATGGGGGAAGGATGGGGAAACAGAGATTCATCTGAAGGTGCCCAGTGACTTCCCCATTTTTGGCCTCCCTCTAACCTCTCAGGAGTTTGGGATCGAGTTTTTTCAGCGAAGAAACTCCTCAAGAAGGAGTCTGTCAACCAACTTTCTGCAAACGCCACCTGAGCTTGTTGCATAAGCTTTTGCTAGAACAGGCATCACTGGTTACAGGAGGAGTAAGGAGTGGGCTGATTCACAGAGCTGGCTAGAAGTGAAGGGGGTTCCCTTTCTTCTCAGGGATGCTATTACCCCTTGGCAGAGAACTGGGTTAATTCCCATTCCCTCTTCCTGATGGGATTTGCACTTTTACATGTTCTCCAAGGAGAGAGCCCTCACCCCCAGGCTATGTTGATGAAGGGGAAGAAAGGCTGTTCTTGCTTTCTTCTATTTTATCTGTTTGTATGAAAGACTTAAAAGAGAGGGAATGAAAGGAAATCCCAGTGCAATATGCTGTTCTGCCCTCTGTGAACTCCCCATACCTTTTAACATCTTGACAGCAACCGTGATGGCCTTGTTTGGCTTGTCCTTATCAATCCCAATTGCTTCTGCCATCACCACTTGGCCAAAACACCCCTCGCCGAGCGGCTTCCCCAAGGTCAGGCTGGAGGGAGGAACAAGCAGGCATGTCAGTGGGTACAGGGGTGGTGACACTCGCAGGAGGCAAGGGGACCCTGACCTGTGGGTTGACTGACCGAGAGCGTGCCAATTCCCACTTGGGATCAGGAGGCAGTTCCAGCTCAGAGACGTTGGCCAGCATCGGCCCATCGCTGGAGGAGAGGCGCGTGATCCGGACCAAGGGTGTGTTGGAATTCATGGAAGAGTTGGACTCCAACGACACCTGCTTGGGTAGAGCAAATAAAGTGTTATTGCCAACTGTATTCCATGGGAAGGCAGTGCCTGAGATGGATCACTGAGGGGGTTTGAGCCATCTTTGCCCACTGACACCTTTCTGGCAACTTCTCTCCCCCCATCCTTGCAGAAATGCACTGGTGTAGGCACCTGTGGTCAGGTTTTTAGCTGGTGGAAAGGAGGGACAGAGCCAGTGCCCTCCAACAGGTAGGAGGTATAATCTGTTCAGTTGCTCTGTGTGCATCTCCATAGCAGGTACAGGCTATGGAGTGACTTCTCCTGTTCTGACCCTGTAAACGCCCACCATAAGCTTGCAGCCAAAGCTGTGAAATCTGTACCCTTCACTATGTGGTTTTACATGGTGCCTTTTGCTCCTGCCCCTCTGCAATTATGCAGCAGAGCATCTCTAACTGCATGGAGAAAGAGGACCCTCTCCCACCTCCACGGGAATTGGTTCAAGTCACCAGTGACCTCTGAGAAAGCAGGACCAAGCACAATTAAATGTGCTCTTGCTCCTCAAATCCCCACTCCACCAGGGAGCCTGGACTAAACTGTTCCCCTGCAATATGTGCTTTCTGTGGCATCCACGGCTGTGCTGCCAGCCCCTCTTGGACAAGGGCGACAGAAACGTGGCTGCTTGGGAGCTGCTCATGAACCAGAGCCAGCTGCCACCAGCTACTGCTCCACTGGAACAGAAACAAATGAATAAAAGGGGTTAAACTCCTAGAGTGCAGACAACTTATGCCCCTCTTGGGCAATGTTTTTCTGGTAGAGTTTCTCACCTAGAGAGAAAATTTCAAGCAGGGGGAAAAAAATAAAAGAGGGATGACCATAGCGGGGAATAGGAATCTTGTATCTACTTTCTGTTACCTGTCTTTTGAGCGGAAATTTGGAGACTTTCTGTACAGTGGGGGTGTTCATGGCTTTTTTGTTTGGCATTTTCATCCTGCAGATAATCACAATGACCAGCACGAGGATGAAGAGAACAAAGCCAGTGCCGTAACTGAGTATGCCAGTGTACACTGAGCCCGAATCATCCATTTCCATGAGCTCCTCTGCTGCGGGGTGACAAGAGATGTCAGTCAGGACAGTGCAGGCAGCTGCCTGCATGCAACTACACACATGCAGCACAAGGAATTTGGGGAGGACCTGTTCATCTACGCCAATTTTCCAAGTGACTTCAGTGAGGGGACTCTCCTAGGCCAGTGGTTTTCCACCTGCAGCCGTAGCTAAAACAGTAATTCAGTTTGCCTTTTTTGGGGCAATTTTACTGGCCTTTGATGCAACCCTGGGGTTTCTAAAAGCCTTCAGCCCACAGGTTGAAAACCACTGCTCTAGGCTGAAGGCATCTGCACATGTCTGTGCTGTCCCTCTGACCCAGATCTTGCTCTCCCTGCACATCCACACCATGTACCTGGGTGCCTTGGATGTGCAAAGGCTGCAGAACTGGGGTTTGCTGCACTTTATGATTCGGCTTCTCCAGCAAAGACTTCCACTGGACCAGTGCCTGCCCTGAGGGACCAAGGGGCTCGAAGGGCATCCAGGGTAAGGCATCACATGGGGGAAAACCCTCATGAGCGCAATCTGCGTAATTATTTAATGAAAACTTAGTTCTGCTGGGAGGAGGCTGGAAGGGCTGGCCCAGAGGGTGATGGCATGAGCCCATCAGCAGTGGCTGCCCACTAGCAAGACTTTTTGGGGACGAGCAAAGCTCAGCTGTGTTTCCTTCCTTGTTCCTTTCAGGACAGGCACATAGACAAGAGGAAGGAGCCACGGTGGGACTGGTTTTCTGTCACCCAAAGGTGTACTGGCATCAGAGGAACAGTCAGCAGTGGGAAACTTTATAATGAAGTCATGCCAGTGGGGTTAGCTCACTTAGCTCACTAACGGCTTGTGGACATCACTGCTGCCCCAAAGCAGCATCTTTGGCAAGCAGCAGGAGCTTTGCCCCTGGCAGCAGCAGGCTCCAAATCAGGTCTCTGGTGGCTGTGTCCAGTGGGACATGGAGAAAGGGCTGTCGGTGACACTGGGGGCTGCACCAGCCTGTGTGTCAGCTGTGCAGGGCCTGATCCTGCCAAGCGGCCATCTCCCCCTGAGGGGAAGGGTTACCAGATCTCCCGGGATCAGGCACTACGGTCGGTGCCACAGCTCTGCTGCCTTGGCTCACACCGTCTCACCCTCTGCTCCATGTCTCTCCTCCCTTAGTGTGGACAGGGGCTTACAAGCAGAGGTTCCCCAGATGGGCTGTATCCTGCACCTTCTCTGTGCGCTTCGGGGCCTGCTGCTGCACAGATGGCTGTCCTTCAGTATGTCTGACTTCAATATAAAGTTCCACTTCAGATCTTTTGGTGGGTTTTCTCCTGCTTATTCTTTGCTTAAATAAGAGGTGTGAGTCCATACATTGTAAAAACACTATAACAGTTGGATGAGACAGTATCATGAGATTCTCAGAATAATAGAGACATTAGTCTTTGAACCAAAGGAAACAATTTCTCATCCAGCGGATGGCAGAAGCAGAAACAGAATCAGATCAGCTATTTTAGAGCTGGCAAATAAACAGAGAAAAGACCAGCAGATCCCACTGGCAGCAGGGCTGGGCATGGAGGAAACCCTCTTGAGCCCCAGTAAAAGTGATTACATCCAAATCACCCGCACAGATGAAGTCAGGATTAGAAATGCCAAAGTTTCCAGTTCCTAAACACATCCTGAGATGGATGTGTTGCAATATGGACCCAAATGTGGTCTATGACTCGGTGAGCCAAAGTGGGGTGTACAGGACTTTGGGTACCCTTTCAGTAAGGGTCTACTGAACATACTCCAGGTCTGCTCTTGCACCATCTGCAAGGCACAGCACCTATGAGATTCAATATGAACATTGCTGGTGCTTTTCTGGACTGTGCTTGTGCCTATCCCGTAGTCAGAGGCAGATTCCTCAGGTGAAGGGACAGCACAGCTTCATCCCCCTCTTTTGGAGAGCAGACCCCTCTGTTGCATATTCTGTGCTGGCTTCTTTGTCAATGAGAGCTTTGCATATGGAAGGACCACAAAATTCAGGTCACTCTGGCCTTGGGTTTTAAGCTCACTGCAGCTTTCAACGATCCCAGCTGGAGCAGGCAGTGCAATGCCCCTGGGAGCCAGGACTCCTGGGCTCTCTCTACAGATGACTCTTCTCAACCTTCTGTTTGAGATCGCTATCTATCCTGGCCTATTCATCCGTGAAGTAGAAGTAACACTACAGGCAGGGAAGGTGTACTCACACCAACCACTTATGCATCTAATTTTAGGTTAAGATATGAGGTTAGACAGAAAGGCTCCTTCATAACATCATTGACAGTCCATGTCCAATTTAGGTGCCTTGGATCATCTGATGGGGAGGTTTTCTTCTCCCACTGGCAGTGTAAGAAGACAAAGTTCCTCATTCTGGCACTTAACAGTCTCCTAACAAAGAGGCTGTGAAAACCTCCTTGTTATCTAGATCAAAAAAAGATACTGGGCATTTTGTATCGTTACTGCAAAAAATAATTTAAATCTTGAGACGCAACGCAAAAAATGTCAGCTGTGAATATGCAACAGAGGTCTTCTTCTGTGCGGATTTACCACCCACACAGCAAATCCCAGAGGAGAGCCCTCCCTGGATAACATGCCCTCTTCCAAGCAAGGGGCGGTCTGCAGGAACTTGGCATTTCTAAAGCAAAACATCAAGGCACCCTGGAGAGGGAAAGAGAGGCCAGCACAGAAGGAAATACCTGGTAGCACCGTCAGCCAAGCAGAGTGATGTGAGAACCCAATAGAATTCCCTGCGAGACAAGTATATTCCCCAGCATCCTCAAAAGTAACATTTCGCAAGTACAGAATCTCTAGCTCCTTATCCGTTGTGTTAACACCTGCTGTCTACAGGGAAAAAAAACACACACATATAGAAAGAGGGAAAACAGAGAATAAGCCACATTCCCAGCAAGTGTGAGGACACCACAGGCAAATTTCAAAAGCAGATTAAGGTGGGTTGTTTTTTTTTTTCCAATGGCCCATCTTCCACATTTATTTATTCACTCCCCTCTGCAACCTGTAGTCAAAAGCAAAAAAAAGTTCCCTTCACCAGGTTCTTACTCTGTCCCACTAAAGAAGCATGCAAGCAAAAGCATCCAAATGAAAAATTGCCCCCACAATATGACTGACTTTGGGTTAGTAGGGTGAGTCGGGGGGTGGGGGTGGGGAAGATGGTAAAAGAGGAGAGAAAAGACAGAAAGAAAAGAGAAAGGAGGGGAGATGTAGTGGGGAAAGACTCAAGTGCTGATCAGAGGAACATACAAACATTTTTATTCATTAGTTCACTGAAAAATATAGTATTTTTTAGAATTTTTTCAGAGTGGGCATCTCAAAGCCCTCGATGCTGTAATGTAACTCTGGTTGACTACAAGAAGGTACCTGTAAGGAACTTCCCTGCAGTGGCACTGAGCAACACAGCAGCCAAACCCTCCAGGCTGGAGTCAAACCCCAGAGCCCACGAGATTGCTGCTGCTCTCTATTTAACATGTTTGCTTTCATGAGCCAATGTTGATATTTATTTCTCCATTACTCCTCCAAGGGACAGAAATTTGTGTACTGATTAGTTCAGTTTTATAGGTGAAAATCTTGAAACAGCTTGGTTTTCCAGAGCTTTGAACGTCACAGGTCATTAACATGCAATTCTGTTATCAGCACTCAATTGTAAGGAAGGGAAAGGAATAAAAGCGTGAAGAGTTGATAGCGAAATTTGACAGTCATTTTATTGTGGGAATTTTTCCATGGCAATTGCTGTATAGGCGTTACATTCTTGTAAAAAAAAAAAAAAATTAGCAAGAAAATAAGATAAAGCCATTCAGCGTCAGTTGACAGGGTATAATACAAAATGAATAGTAATTTTAATCACTAGCTTCTTAAAAATGTTATAGCTCATTCTTGCAGTTGCCAGGGCCTTGGGACAGAGTCTGTGGTTTACCTGGTTTTGGTTTGCGAATGTGGAGCCAAAATGGTTTTTCGGCTATGCCTACGAAATTGTTGGCTCTACACAGATATTCTCCTTCATCTTGTTCTGTCACATTGAACAGATTTAGGTTAGCATCGGCTTCAGCGTTTTTACTGATCCAAGACTGCAGGAATAGACAGAAACCTGAACTTCAGTAAACCAAACAATACCTCCATCGCACCTACATTAGCTAGGATTGACTGTTCATGGCTATTTTCTTTTCAGCTGTGGCAACACCCCCAGCTCACCCTGCGGTGAGAGACCTAACCCAGGACCTGGGCGAAGAAGAGAAGTTGCATCTGGTCCCCAAACCACGTGCAAGTGAACTCCCTTCCCTTCACTAGCGGCACACATGCAATTTCTTTTTTAAAACAGACCAATTTCCCACTTCTCCATCTGACAGCAGTCAAAGGCCCTACAGTTTCCTAATAACTCTGCAGACAGGAGCACCAGAGAAAGGGCTTAAGCAGAGATTTGTGTTTGCAACCCGGCTCAGCAAATACTGTTTCAATTATCAGATTCCAAAATAGAATTTGGAAACAAAATATAAGCAGTGGCGGTCTGAAACTCGCTGCTGACTTTGCCTTTCAGAAATTAGCTGTAATTTTTTCCACTGCTTATAGGAGCCTCTTCTTTACTAAATAAAGTGGTGCATATAAATCAAACAAACTTCAGACTCTTAAGCAAGGGTTTTATTTCTCTTCTTCCACGCTGTCACAACAGCACATCAGTTTTTTCCCTAAACAGTGGTTTTTATTTTGGTTGAAAATGCACAACTATTTTGGGTGGCCTCAGAAGTAGCCTAGGGAAAGTCTAGAAAAAAATATCAGCTTCATTTCTGGAAATGAAAATAAAACCATTGGTCTTCTCATTTTTGGTCTTACGCTCTCCAGCCCAGTCTCGGTGCCTACGATTTCAAGGCCTGATCCTGCCAAGATGGCTTGCAGCCCGTTAAAATCAACAGGGTTGCAGTTATTAGGAACTGAAGCCAGAGGTGGCATCAGAGAGGAGCCCCGATGTCCACGTCTGATGACAAACACCACCAGTTTTGACCTGATCTCATCTCTAAGGCTTATGTGCTGGCAAGTTTGCCTGTCCTGACTAGTGGGGAAACGTGCCTGCCTGCTGTTGCTGCCTTGTTTATAATTAAACCGGGCATGTTTCAATGCAGAACATACAATTTAGCCTTTGACAAAGCTTGGGCACCGTGTTGCCAGCCCCCGCTCCGTAACTGGAATGCATTTAGCACTCTTCTGCAAAGAAAAAGGGGTTTGCTTTGATCACAAATTAGCCCAGGCTTTCAGGAACTGATGCAGGTGATGGCTTGGTTTTGTCAGGCTGTTTAAAAAATGGGTTGAAAGTACGGCATTCAATTTATCCATCTGGACTGGGGTGGGTTTTGACACCATTTAGATGTGAGGGGGGAATTTCATGTGCTGGGAACCTCTCCTTCCCCCTCACCCCGATGGAGACCGGAATACTCCCCATGCACAACCCGCCCCACAGCAGCTGCTACACTCCACAGAATCTCCTGAAGGCAGGAGGGAAGGGCAGGCTGATAAAAAAGCCTTATCTCCCTGCAGGCACCGGGCAGGAGGGAGCCCTCTCTAAAGCAGCTGTGGGCAGGGAAGGGCTGTTAACAGCACCCTGCTCCAGCAGCACTGCCAGGATGCTGGGTCCGAGCAACAGCGCTGCGTGGCATGAGGGGAATGAGCCTATAAAGCCAACGGACTGGCCCCAAGATGACGGTGAGATCATTTTATCAGATCTTTATTTTTAAAAAACAAGCACACAACACATTAAAAAAAAAAAATCCCTGCAAAGCTGGGCCTGATACAGCTCCACGGAGGCCCAGTACTGGCGCACAAAAGATGCATCCCAAAATGGAAATGCTCCGTGCCCCAGCGCTGATGCCGGCATTAATACAATTCAAAGCATTCCTGATTAACCAGAAGTAGTAAATAGACGTGTGCTGGTCCTATTCAGCAAAAAAATAAAACCAAACAAAACTTGCGCTTTCAAACGCCTGCCTGTGCTCCCCTTCGAGGAATGCAGAGCCTTTGCCGTCCACAGAAGAGAAGGTATTTGGCAATTCTAATTACCTAGCCACCCCGGTGCCGCTCCAACTTAATTTTAAAACACTATTTATACGGACTATTTATATGTTCTTTGCCACAGCAAAATGGGAGCTTGTGCTTGTGACACAAGGCACTGTTCGCAGCGGCTCTGCAAACTTCCAAAAGGTAGCACTTTATCCCACGGGGACCACACACGGAGCTCGGAGACTATACTAGATGGCATGTGACACAGCCAGCTATTCAGAGCGTGGTACTGGGCTGTGAAACCAGGGGGAAATTCAAATATGCATAATTCAAACACATTTGGAGAGACAGCGAGAAAATCAAAAGTTTTATCAACTCGCGAGAAGCGCGTGTTGCCAATCCTGAAGAACTGTCTCCAGCCATTTCTTCCAACCAATCTGTTATTTCAATCTGTGTAATTATTTCCAGGGTCTCTGGCTTTTATTATCATGTAACTGGCTGAGTTACAGTTTTGTAGATGCTGTCTGATAAGTGGGGTTTTTTTAAAACTGCATACAAAGAGAAGGGTGTGTGCAGCAGGATGTGCACGGGGAATGTCCAATGCACAGGACAACCTCAGCTTGAAACTGCAGGGACAAAACCCGCTTTCAGCTGTAACTGCAGAGCCAGAAAAACTGCATCTGGCCCTATATATTTTAATAAATACCAACACGGGATGCCTTTAATTATTAAAAAAAAAGGGGGGGATTTTAAAAGTCCAATGTACGTTTCACTCTCTATTCTCTACTTTTTATATTTGCATAGGTTGAGGGGAACCAGACCCGCTGGCTTTGTTCTGGCTGTAACCTGGAAGTTCGCTTTCAAGAAAGATTTTAACAAGTAGAGTCTTACTAAGTGAGTTTTTGCTCAATAAAAAAAAAAATAAAAGGCTTTCCTGAGCATGGGTAATAGCAATGCTCACAAATGTTAGTGGCTGGAACAAGACTATTTTGGCTCTCAGGTGCTGGTAGTTCAGCATTATTTAGCATGTGCACGCTGCAGCGTGTTTACTTGGAAAAGGAAAGAATGTGTTTTAGTTGGGAGCCTTTTATTGTAATAAGCCCTGAAAATACTTCTATTGAAGCTGTAAAAAAAGGTTATTTTTACAATTTTAGGTCAAATGCAATCTGACAGCTTCTCTTTTATTATGCTGCATTTCTCACAGTTGCCTCAGCTCTTACAACTACTTTGCTTATCTGAGCCACTACAGTAGTTGTGTTACCTCTGGCAAACAGAAGAGTCTGGAACATCGACTTTAGGACATTTGTGCTGTACCCCCTCCAAAAAGCAGAGTATTCCACTGCATGGGCTTAAAGGAAAGAACAATCCCAACAGCTGTCCTTGGCTTATTCTTGTGATTTTTTTCTTATAGACACAAAACAATTACAGAAAATGAGACCTTAAGCTCCCAAAAATCTTATTTAAATCATTATTACCCTTCTAGGAACTGTGGCATCGAACATATTCTGTTGGGAATTTCTAGTTCGCATTGCACTGCTAGTCTAGGGCTTATTTATAAACATGCAAATGAAGTTTATGGCTTCCATTGATGGTGAGCACCTTTACTCAGTGCTGATCTCTCTTGCCATGAGTATAGCAGTGGGTTTCTTTGAGGAGTATCCCCACAATGTAGCTGCCAACTCTGTAACACTGAGACCTAGGCAGAGGAAAGACTGTCCTGAGGGTGAGAAGAAGGAGCGTGTACCAACCTTCAGCACTGTGACATAGGGCGTCCCATCGGGTCCGTATTTGCTGCCGTTGACTTCCACGTGTTTCAGCCACTGGATGTGAGGCTGGGCATCGCTGTAGACCTTGCAGTGAAACTCCACATTGCTCCCTACCACCACAGTCTGGTTGGCAGGGAGCCCTGCTTGTAGGATTGGTCGGTGGGGTGACCTTTCTGAAGAAAAGAAAGAGGGAAATCCTAATTTATCCATCCTTCCTCCAGCAAGGATTCTCCTCTGAACCCTTCATCTCCTGGCTTTTCAGCAGAAAGGGTGCAGACTGGGATTGTTCCCCTTAGGTGTCCTGGCCACCGCTCTACCCAGCGCTTCTCAAGCCAAACAGGGAAGAACCACCTGGAAATGGAGGAGGCATCTCAGCCCTGCCATTCCTTCTGGCCCCTCTGTAGACCAGCTAAGTAATTTATTGATCACAGATCTGAGTCTGAATTGTTGGCCAACAGGAAGCTTGTTATCGGTTTCAGAAGATGCATGATTCAGCCCTTTGGGAAAGAAACCAAGCTCCTGCTTCCCATATCCCACTATGTGCCTGTTCAACATCACCACAGATCAGCTGTTGAAGGAAAACAGTGGAAATCTCACCTAATACATCAAGCTGGTATGTGTGCCTAATATTGCCATATTTGTTCTCCACAACACAGGTGTAATTTCCTCGGTCTGATGGCACAACACTCTCCATCACCAAGCTCCACTGCTGGTGTCGCAACTAGAAGAAGAAATCAAACCATCAAGCCTGTGGTCAAGCGCCATCACCACCTTCAAACCAGTGAACAATCAGTGAACTTCTACACTTGGGCAGCATGAACAGACCCCAGAGTAAGCCTGAACATCACAAGGACTCATTTCAAGGATCATTAAAGTCTTAATGTGAAAGGGAATTAAGACCAATGCATGAACAGCACGCTCTGCTCTGGTCCAGAGACTCTGTCAGCTCAAAATATCATACTCTTGTCTGCAGACCTTTATTGACTGCTACATATACCCCATGAGATGACTAGCAACAATAAAGATCATACTCCTCCCTCCATCTATAACTTATTTTAAAGATGTGTGCTATGGAGGCAACAGGGCATGGCACCTGTGTGAACAGAAATGGGTGTCTACAGCTAAATTAGTCCCCTAAATTCCCTGTAAAAAACAGGAGAAAACATGCCCAGCTTCAAGTCTGGTCTCTAGGATGCCTGGTCAGCCCTTCTCTTTTGGCACCAAGTTTTATATTGGTTTTCTGGATGTGGCTCATGTCCAGTTGTTGGTTGTTCAGTAGTAGAAGGGAAAGCACAACCCATGTCTCCACCCTGACCTGCTGCCCTGTGCTCCCAGCTAGAACATTTGTTTATAATGAGTACAAAGGAAATAACGGATACAGAAAGCAAATTTTGAATACAGAAAGCAACCAACACTAACAAAGATGACTTCAGGATGCATAGCATATGAAAGCTCTCCAAATCTCTGGATATTAATTTGATGCCTTCTGCCGCCCAGAGCAGAACGTTTAACTTTATTAAACATTTTGAAGGTGACTCCAAGGACACAGAAGCAGGAGATTACAGTAACACTGTGCTACAGAATGTCAAGAGCTGATGGAAAAAACAAGGGCATAACTGCTCCTGGATGTTTCTTGCTGCAGCAGGTGAACTCAAATATGAAGTCATTTAACCTCTTCTGCTACACATAAATTGCATCCACATGCTTTCCTTTAAAGGGCCAAGTCGCAATTAAAGCCAGAGTTTTGTGAAGGGAAGGTTTAAAGTCATAGGACTAGGCAGCTTAGTTGCAACATAAGCAAGCAAAAGTTATTTTAACAAAGCCCCTTGCTTTGTAGATCTCTGCACCCCTGGGAACAGCACTGCTGAGCACCCCACTTTTCAGAGGCCGCTGAATATAGCATTTCCTTTCATTTCAGGTTATAGGTAATAGGAGGCTGTGGCTAAACACTCTGTACAGAAATCTCGGTTCTTGCAGATGTCTGGTCAGGTCTGACTGCACCCTCTGCCCACCCAGGACAGCACAGATGGAGCTCAATGCAAAACCAACATTACACGTTTTGTAAAGCAACATCCCACTTGGTACATCTCATGTCCAGTTGTTGGTTGTTCAGTAGCAGAAGCGTGGCAATTACAGGGTAAAAGATGCTCGGAGAACAGAGAGTCTGGACCCTGTGTTCACAGCTGAACATACCGGACTGTCAAGGAAGTTTCAATGCAAATTTGTGGCTGCTCAGTGGCTCATTTCCATACTGGCTTGTCTCACAGTTGGGTCTAAAGATTTCATTTAATCCAATTTTCAGCATTGCAAAGCATTTGCCTCTGGAATCTCTAAGAGCTACTCCAAGGAAATGGAGCTCCAGATACATGGACAATGCCCTAGTCTGACCTGTATTATAAAATCAGGTCCAAAATAGGTGTTTTACTTTCAAAGACACTTTTATGACACTTTCAAAGAACTTCTCTTCATCAGTTTGTGATGGGGACTTTGGACTCTTAACAGAGAGGAGAAGCTGGGGGGCATAGGCTCATGGGGCAGAACTTGTTTGGACTCTTCTAGAAGCAGTAAGATTTTTTTTTTTTAGGTTGAGACTGGTGTCTAGATTTAAAGGATAACAAAAAGGGATGTTCCCAAGCTAGGATAGTCGCCACACTTGATAAAACACTAGAAACATGAAGTGACTTAGTGGAGGCATTAAACAAGTGGGTGAGATACTGGAAATCCCTCTGGTTTATTTGGTGTTGTCATTCTTGGCTCCTTGTGAAACAAACATTTGCAGACAGCCTTGGAACCTCAGTCCGTGTTCGCCAGACTGGTATGCAAGTCAGTGCAATGGTCTGGGGAAGGGATAATCCTCTATCTCCCCTCCCTCTCCATCTTCCCTTCTAGGGTCATTTAACACACACAGGCTTACAATATCAGAGATTCCAACAAGGATTTAACCATTAATGCTCTTTGGGAAATTTCATATGATAAGTCATATGAATTTCTTTTCTTTACCAGTTAAGGATGAACTGCAACAAAACTAGGTTAGCCTGGACTTCATGTTTTCAACACTCACCCTTGTCTCCTGCAGACTTAACACCAGGGAATCACACATGATCTAAATGCCATTTGAGGCAGAAGTGGAAGAGTGGTCAGCTTTCATCTGCTGACCACAGACCTTTCGCAATCAACGTTTAAACTCTTCCACACGCTGAAAACAAATGAGAACATTCCCAGCTTAAGGATTTCTGGGTTAAGATCAGATCTCAAGGTGAAGTAAGCCAACCAAACTCTGCCAGATCTGGATCTTGCCCATTCTTTTCAATCTGCCTAATCCTGTTATGAAGCTAAGTTGTAACAGGGAATTTAAATCTTAAATACATGAGATACTGAGCAGGTTTTCAATCTCTTTTTCTGGTTCAAATCTCAGCTGATATCTATCAGTATATTTATACTGGATGAGATTTACATTAGACTACTTACAGCTAACCACGGCTCAAGAGCAAAAGCAAGCAAATAAGGGAAGGAAAATTACAGAGAGAGAAAGACGTCTTTATATCAAGAAAGGGACAAAGAACTGCACCTAGACAGATAGAGAGCTTAAACCAATCTTGCTGTAATTGGCCTGACATTGCCTTCAATAGCTCTTTAAGCATTGGCTTGTTGCTGGAAGGTGCCCCTGGAGAAACAAAGCACAGTGATGCCAAAGACTCACTACGGATGAAACGTGTCAATTTAAACTCAAGGATAGATTAAAAACACTGGGAAGTGGGTAGGGGAATTGCTTTCAGCTTTAGATTTTATTCTGCAAGCATAATTTAGTGCAGCTGATGTCACATAGTTTTGTAAAAAGCCGCTCGAATGGCGCACGCAAGCCTGAAAACACTTCATGATGATCCTTACAGTCTGCAATTAGTAAAAGATGCTTGTGCTTTGTGAATGTTATCTGCCGAAAGGCTGTTTACCCACAGGAGTTGCTTCCCCACTTCTTTTCCCTCCTTAACTTTTCAGAAGATCCAAACCTGAGCGTGTCCTCAGCCTCGTCCAGGCTGGAGCAGGGACAGGGCTGAGGGGAAAGCTTCAAAGGCTTCACTGGAGCAACCACAAAAGGCTCTTTCAGGAACGGGTCTGAGCTAACAGGAAAGAAACAGCCCAAAACTGTGGGAAGGGAAGACTTTTTTGAATCCCTTTCTGGTTTCTGGAGCCCGGCACGCTTTGCATGCCTAGCCCCCCTTTCAAAATGCTACAGATGTGGTAGGCATCAGCACACAGCTATTCAGAGTACTCGTGAAGGTGCCTTCCTAAAAATCACCTTCTCTCCTTAGCAGTAGCCCAGGGATACGCCAGGGCTGGCAGAGTGCAGGCAAAAATCACTGCTCAGGAGTCCTTTCTGCTATGCTGATTTTGTTACAATCAGCTGTTGGCAGTTTTATTCTCCCCAAATAAAACCTGAAAGGAGTCTGCCTGTGACCTCAAGGGGATGAAGGAATAACAACAACAAAATCACAGAAGAGCTGATTTTCCTGTTAAACTCCTGCCATAATTCATCATATACAGTAGCACAGAAACTTCTGGCTAATTAAATCATTTGAGTGCAGTGGGTTTTTGTGTCCCTTAGCTCCATCTATAAGCACAAGCCAGAGCATTTTCCAGAACACCTTATGGTAGAAAGGAAGGAAGGAGGAGAAAGCAGCCAAGGAGCAGATGCTATTGCTCTGGCTACAAGGGAATCCAACACTTGACTGAGGGTCAGTAATTTATACCACAAGAATGTTAATGACCCCCAGCATGACAGTCCAACTCTTTGGTGAGGTCCTTCCTACACCTTTCAAAGGATGCAGTCGTTTTTCCTTGAAAGCTGGGAGTAGCTACGGCTCGGTCTAACATGTCTCAATGCACTGGGCTGATCTCCAGAAATTAGGACAGAAGTTTCTGCTTCTGCTTTCTCATCACTGTCCACAACGCAACCATAAACCCAACCTCATTTTACCTAGTCCCTGAATGACCACTATAGACAAACTCAGAGGGAATTAGCCCTCAATCCCAAGGGACAGCAGCCCTATTTAACACTTTGGTGTCGAGCAATTGCTAAGGCTGCCAGAGACACCCCCATTCCCACACAGTTGGGACCGTGCTCTTACATGTTAATCACCGTGAAATACAATTTTCTACAGTTGGTAGAAAGCTCCTGATAAAAACAGAGATTCAAACCAAGGCCCTACCTTGATGCCCCCAATCCTATGCTCTCCCTTGAACTCCTTGCCATTTTTCAGCCAGTAGATGGAAGGAGTTGGGTTTCCACCTGCCGGACATCGGAAGCGAACAGTGTTGGCGGCGGGAACTGCCAGCAGCTTCTTCTCCATCTTATCTGGCCGGGTCCAGAAGGGGACACCTGAGGAAGGAAAGACCAAGTTAAACAGGCCCATTTCTGCTGTGGAGGATATCAGCTGGTGAGCAGATGCATTTGAGAAGGCTTTGGCATGTGCGGAGTGACAGTTAAATTGCTACCTGCTGCAGTTAAGATAAATGACACAGAAATGCTTTCCAGCTAAATTACTCTCATAGATGTAGACAGGGTGTTTGCATTTTAGGTTTGTGATGAAAGGTTCATGACCAGGTTCCTGTCTCAGTAATGCCAGTATAAATCTAGAGTAGCTGCTTTTAAATCAACAGGGAGAGTCATCCCAGATCAGGATGAGAATCTGGCCTCAGCGTGTAAAAAGATACAGATGTACCTTTGGGACAATAGTAGCCAAGAAGCACGAACAGCAGAAAGATGTTGGAACTGTAAAAAAAATGTTGATGAGCCAGCAAGGGACCGGAGAAAAAGTGTTATCTGAGTGCACTGGAAAATTTTGCGTCTCAGTAAGCACAAATGTAGTGTAGCCTCCTTAAGGGAAGGAAAGAAAAAAAAAAAAAAAGCCAGTGCCAAACTGGTTTATCATGTTTATGTTCTTTAAGTAGAAGTGATTTTAAAGATTCATGTTACCTTTGAACAGGGATAAGTTTTAAAACACCAGTGTTAGCGTGAGATACTTTTTATAATCTGCCTCAAGTACAGCGATGTTTCTTGGCTGTGTTACAAACATTACATATTAAGTCCAAATTAAGGCAGCAGCAGCAGCAAACTCATTATACTGGGAAGAAAGAAAGAGAAAGTTTTTTTTAAAAGCCTCCCAAGTTTTCATTTCTGCTTAAGGAAACACTGCAGAGCTGCACGTGGGGTGCTTCCTCTGCCACGCTGGAGGCCACATCGAGCCCCCCAGCTCTGTGCTCCACACCAAGGCCAAAGGGAGATGTGGGCAGACAGCATTTAGGCTGCGAAAGAGCCAAGAGGAGGCCAAGGAGTGTAACTGGCATCTCCTACAGATGGGAAGGAAGCACCCACAGACAGAGAGCACCCAAACCCACTGGTCGCAGAGACCTGTGTGCTTCTGGCCAAGACAAACTGAAGGCGGTGGTCCTTCAAGAACTGCCTTGGAGAACACGATGGCCACCGAAGCTGTCAGGAAAGCATTGTTGCTGGCCTCTCCCACAGCGGTGACAGCGCTCAGAACACCACCACAGCCCCACCTCAGTGCTACTCCAAAGCCTCTGCAATCCCCTTCCCCTTAATGACAAGGGCGTACGAAGTTTTCCCTCTTGTCGCATCCCTCTGAGATGCACCAGAGCCGCTCCCTTTCTCCGGCGCTCCCTGATGTACTTAGCCCCGACGTGTTTGGCAAAATGAAACCCACCCTGTTGCAATTCCAGGTATGTCAGTGATGACCCCACCTTGGTCTGAGTCCCCAGTGTCCCCCATGCAGGCTCCTTGCTGCATTTCACCTCCAAGGATTTTGCGGGCAAGGTCATACAGCTCAGCCAAGGCAATCCATGCACCCACCACTTTTAGCACCTGCTAACACTCTCCACATGGTCCCCTCTCCCCATGGCTCCTTGCGAAGTCCACCTGACCATGAGGACTGCATGTCAGGAGCTAAATCCAGAAGGCCATCCATTTGCTGGAGATGGCCCCGCTGGGTGCATTGCTCTCATGTCTCATCTGTTTTCACACCTCTGCAGCCAGACAGCTGGACACAGGTGCCTCAGTAATGCTGTCCTGGGGTTGAAATCCAGTATTGAGGGCTTGCATCTGCCCTCCGGCTGCCTTGCACAACGCGCCGTGATGCCTATCAGAGTCAGCTCCACGTATCAGAGGGATCTGGTGTTCACCCATGCCGCGTACGCCTCATTTTTTAAACAATGAAACTCCTTAAGGCCCTTTTCTTGCCAGGATGGCACCAGAGTAGGAGTATGGCTGGCACAAACGAAAGGAGGAATCCCTGCAATTCCTGTGCTCCTGCAAAATCCTGGCTATAGCAAACTTCACTGTGAACATGCGGCACATAGAATCATAGAATCATAGAATGCTTTGGGTTGGAAGGGACCTCCAGGAGAGGCCTCAAATGCTACATGATAACATGGGCTAAAACGGAATACCGTGTAACCATCTACCTTCCAATATCTAAGCTTAGAAAAATGGTAAAGAACTGCACAAAAAAGGGGGGAATATTCCAAAAAATGTCAGAAGAGCGGGTGCAACTCCTAAAGGAAGAGCAGGTCTTGACGGTAAAGGAAGATGCTGTTATCGCATGCATTGGGAAGAGCAGAGACCAAGCAAAGGCTGGGCAAAAGCCCAGGCAGCAGCAGGGGCGTCAATTTGGAGGAGAACAGTTGGGGTGCTGCTGGGAAGGCTGAAGAGGAGGGGGCTGCAGAAACCATGTTGGGAGACATCTGGCCCTTGGTTTCCGAAGCACGGGCTACTTCCTGGCCGAACGCTTCTTTTGGCAACGCACCCGGATTTCCCGGGGATTTTACAGGAGGGTAACGGGGCTACAGGGGAGAGTTCAGCAGAAGGCCAGGCATGGATGGAAAAGCCCCCCTTCGCCGCAGCCAAGAAGGGCAGCCGAATAACCTGCTGTTTGTTATTTGATTAACATATCTGCCTACAATAAATCCCATTTTACAGTGTCAGAGACACTCACCCTGGCATGGGGGTGTAACTAGATTGCACAGCCGCCCTGCCAGGACCGGGTTTCTCCTTGCGCTGTGCTTTTGGGGTGTTTTCCCCCTTCCACACCAGCTGTTGTGTGCTGCGGGGCGACGTTTCACCGTGTTTTCTCACTCAAAAGACTAGTTTGCATCTCACAGGAGACCCATCAACCCACTGGCTGCAAATTTTGCCACTGAAGCCAAGGGGGATTTTGCCATTGGACATCAGAGAGGAGCAAGATGGGGCCCAGGAAAGTTTCCAGCCAGGGATATTCTCCATATGGAGCAAAGGCAGGATCCACTCCTCCCTCCTGCAATTAGACACGGCTTCTTCTCTGAGAGCCTCCCCTCTGTTTGGGTGCGAATTGGGGCTCACCAGGGCTGGGCACCCCTGGATTAATGTGCCAAGATTCAAACAACCAGAGCATCGCTCTCAAGTTGAACTGAATCTGGAAGAAAGTGTCTATGCATTGAAAATGGTGCTTTTGTTCTCACTTGCAGGAGCAGCGAACAAAACAACACAGCTTTTGGTTTGCTGTGCCCCCAGAGTCCCTTCATTACTGCTTTTTAAGGGGGTGAAAATGTTGCTAACTCTTCTTTTCAAGCAAAGCTTGCAAAGCTCTGGAGAGTTTCAGGAGCGAGGAAGGATGAAAGACAGGAAAAATTTCTAGACCCGCTCTCTCTAAATTAATTATGAGCAATGATTTTACATGCGCAGGTGTGAAAAAAAAGGGACCCACAAACATTGTCACCGGCCCTTTCCCATCATCAAACACTAAGCCTGACGGTCCGTTTTGTTCGTCAAAGACACCGGCCACCCATCCAACTGGAATGACCAATTAAAAAAACCCGAGAGCGATACTTGGAATAATTAATACAGCCAAGCGCTCATTTAGCAATTAGAAGCTGCCACAAAATTCTGCGGCACACAGAATCAACCCTAATTGTGTAATTTCCCCAGCTGACGCCTCTGAGTACACAGCCAGATTTAATTGGAGATTATAGGGGCTCTTTGAAGGTGCTGGGGCTACGCAGCGGGGGCTCCAAACAAACAGATACAGAGGGGTAGGGAGCACTGGGGCAGAAGAGCAGTGTGTGAAAAGGGAGTTTTGTTTTTGTTTCAGGGCCAGGAAAAACAGCTGTAGAGAACAGAGGTATTGGAAAGCCTCTTTTTGCAAAGGCGGATCGCAGTTCGTGACAAGGCTGCAAGAAACAGGCCGATGATTTGAAGCTGCTGAAGTTCCTCTTCCTTCTTTTCTGCTGCCTGTCCCTAAGGGATGCCCTGTTCCTGTACTGCCCTTCGGAGAGGATGCTTAAAGGAGGGTGAGCAGAGCAGGGCATTCCATGTGGAGGTCCTGTCACCATGCACTCCAAGGGTTTCTGCACCAAATATTAATTTCTTTTAGGAAAGATTTCCTCTCATTCTCATGCTTTGGTATTTCCAGCTCCCATCATTCAACAATTTTGGGTCAAACCCCCAAAATTAACAAGATTGGCTTCAAACTCATGATGCTATTAGAATCACCTCTCCAAGCTCTTCTCTATAAATATAAGAAACTCTCTTGAACAACACAAGTAAGCCAGAAAATTAACTTATCATCCCAAGGGGCCAGGAGACAAGGTTTTTATTCAGTGATGTTCAATATGGCAACACGTAATGAGCCAGTTCTGCATGGATTACCTCCCCCTAAATATGAATAACTATCGGTTATATTTTCCTTTTGCATGAAAGCATGTTTATTGCCTTCACTCCTCAAACAACTGACCATGGCTACGTCTGATGGCAAGCAGGGGCTCGTACACCTCATTAGTGAGGTATCTTTTTGCCACAAGAGATGGAGGACACAGGTCTTTGGGCTGTCCATAGGACATGGCACTGGCTACACCCACGTGTCCGCCTGCCTGGGATGGTCCTGCAGCCCCTGTGCCCAGTGGGATGTCCCAGCGGCGGTGGTGCCAGGGTTAACAACATGGCTCCCCAGGCTCAAGAGAAGATCTGTGAAGGTTAAGCGCAGGGCCTGATGTCAAACAAAGCAACATAAAGCACATCCACGTCACAACACACCATGAGGTTTCACCGTGCTGGCACGTTAAGCTCATCAACCGTTTTTAAAGCAGAAGAGAATCCAACATTTTTTAACGAGACCTCTAAGCAAAGCCAGTCATTACCTTCGAGTCTAAAAAAAGAGACAGCCTTGAAGTCAAGAAGACCCAGAATACAGGCTATAAATACACGCGGCAAAATGTGTGTTTTCCTTTCAGTGAAGAAAAACGTGTCTTTCTGTACCATAAACCAACTGATGTTTTGTGATACCTGTTGCTAAGAGATGGAGTTTACTACAAGCCACATAAAAAAAAGTACAGAACGATTAATTGTGCTCATCAGAAGCTGCTCTGCAGCAGAAACAAATCCTGACCAAACCTGACCCTCCCTATGTCTCTATCAGGCTTCAGCAGGCATCAGGATCCCTGAGCACCTCTGCAAAGGTGCTTGTCACCTCACAGGATCTGGCCCTTAATTAGAAGCTATCAAAACCCACTAACTGCTGCCGATGGGTCACCTGGCACTGTAACTCACCATTACTGTCCACACACTGCACGACACAGCGGTATGAATTTATTACAGTGGGAGACCTGTTTTAAAGAGTCCTGCATGTCCAACGCTATGGGCAGGAGAAACTTTCCAGTCATGTTGAAATTCTGCCAATGTACATAGCTGATTGGGAGTTCAAATACAAGACATTTATTTATTAAAAACACATACACACAGGCAGCTGGCTTTGCAGAAATATAAAGAGCATAATAAAACACAACACTAACGCCTCTGAAGCATGTAATGATCCTGATTAATGCTATTGCACTTAAAGAAACAAGCACTGGGATTGAAAGAGATTCAGACGAAAAGCACCAAGAGGCTCTGTCCTGGGGCTCCCTTCCTCACATGAGCGACAGAAAAAGCCAGTAAAGCCAAAGGGGTTGCTCCTGCTTACGGCGTCAGTAAATTTGGCCCTTGGCTAGCGTAAATTTTATGCTCTGACTCCAGCCAAGATGCCGGTAAGGACCAGAACGAAAACAGCTAAAAATAAAGCAGGCCAACGTTTGCAATGGTCTAAAACTGGTGTAACATCAGTTTAGTAAAAAGAATATGCTAAGTGGGTTTGTCTGGACTTACATGCAAGGAGAATTTATAACTCCAGCTCATCAAGTCAGATTCACAGAATCGAGTCTCCGAAAAAAAATTACGCTACTGCTGCTGTAGGATATTATAGCAGTGATACCACTCTGGCAGCTATTTCTACATTTTTAGATAAACATCATCATGGTACCATCCTAAGGTCACCGATTTCAACACAGAGAAAGAGCTGCTGTCCAACCAGGTGAACATGCGGATGAGCTGCTCCACTTGGGAGCCCCATCTCTTTGAAAGAAAAGGTCTCTGTATCCCAGAAAAACAAATTACCTGTATCTTCTGACTCATCGTCATCATCTTCATCATCACCCGATGAAGGGGAATCTAGGAGAAGGAGAAAGAAGTGAGCAGAAAGAGGATGGCACACGGGGACACCACGTTGGATGAGGCTGCTGGCGCCACGGTGGGCTCCAGCGAGGGAGGACACCCAAGTGATGGGTCACCCTTCCCTGCAGCTCCACCAGCCTGTCCCTCCCATGCTGCTGGGCCAAGGACAAGAGGCCAGCAGCTTTCTGAACTGGGAGAGAGGTGTCATGAGTCTGCCAGTGCTCTGCCACCAGAGACTGGGGTCCAATGCCAACTACTTCTCCCTGTGTGAAGTGCTCTCCTCCTCATAAATACAAAAGCAATTCTAAAAAGGGAAGTTTCTTTTTGCAGAACAAGCTCTCCCCCACTTTTTTTTTCCCTCTAGCATTCACTCTGAAGACTTTTTATTTCACCAAGTCTCAAAATGACAGGTCAGCATTTCTAATTCACTTTCCCTGCATTTTTTCTTTTAACCTAATACACCCCTGCCACGTCCCCCCTCGCTAACTCCTTGCTCAACCACTCAGACCAAGGCTTTTAAAACTTCCCCTTGCAATCAAACCTCTCTCGCGATCGACATTTTGATGGCTACTCCACGAACCAGTTCCCTTCGGTTATATTCCTCCTACAGAGGAACCTCGAGGCTGTAACTGAATACAGGTTAACAAGTGGGAATTTTCCATCTGTATCTCTCCAAAACATCCTGAACCATTTTGCTTAATGTGGTGTAACATCTCACCTTCTCCAAGCTGTCCACAACGAAGTCTCAGTCCCTATTCCCCCCACCAAATGACTACTGTAAATGTAAATCCCACTATAAAATAGCAGCTTAGCGTTTGATTTAGTTTACACAATTTAGCACAATTCAGTGTCTGAAAGATTTAGCATCACTGACTTCATATAATCTCCAGGAATTTCTTTTTTAAATAAAGGCAAAATGCTAACAACCCAGCAGCCTTTATATCCTGAGACAGCGGTAAAAGAACTTGGCGTTAAACGCTAGAAAATAGGAAACTTTATGAGTGTTCAACATGTGGCCAGAAATGTAAAGCACTACTTTAGACCAAGCCAAGCAGAACCTCCTTCATTTCAAGATGCACTTGAGTTTTCTGCCATTCTCTGACCAGCTCAGTGGAGGTAAAACTGGAAAAGAAAAAAGGGAAAAAAGAGAAAAAAAGAACGAACGAAAAAGAAAGACAGGGGAAAGGTAACAACAAATACTACTTCTCTGCAGAATCTGGAAGGACTTCCCAGGCATATCCACCATCTACAGGAGCAAGTAACACAGGAATCATCTCCCTGCTTTAAGAATGCAGCAGTGCATGGTGCTTTGCACCTTCTCTTTGGCAAAGTCTCAAGGAAGACTTGTAGCACGTATCTAACTGCAAATCCACAGTTGAGGTCCTGCTGGCAGCAGAACTAGGGAAATGCCATGGGGCTTGCTGAAAGTGAAGTGGATGTTTAGGTGTTTTGGCTGAACCAGCAGGTTTACTCAAGTCCTGGCGAAGGCAGAAACCAAGCCAAATGCCCACCAGCATCGACAGAGAAACCAGCACATTCTCAGCCCTGCACTCTCAGATTTGGTTATCCATATATTAACATGTGATTATAGTTTACTTCTGGTTTCCAATGAACCAATGGGGTCCAGAGGAGCAGAATCAATTTTTAAACCAATTCAAAAACATTTCCACAAGATTGAGGGAAGAGTCTTTGACCTTGCTTGTGCTCCAGATTAGATGTAGCTTAGGTTTTAAGACCAAATATCCCATGTTCAGAGCTACTGTCCTATTCAGGTTACTAAAACATCACCTTTTTCCAAAGGTGACTAAAAATTTGTAAGCTATTTGTTGATCATTTACTAAAATAGTAATCCTTTTCAGAAGCTGACAAGTATTGGCATCAGCAAGAACTGCTAACTGCTATTCTCAAAAGGGCTTTAATTATGAATGGAAAGGGGCATAACTTTTTTAGTCACCTGTTTTGGAGCGCTTAGTCTTGGGTATTTGGAAAGCTCTTTTTGCTGGTACCAGCCTGCAGTCGTGCTCGTCACAGGGGTGCTGCTCAGCCACTAAATCCAGAGGCTGTTCTGTGTGTGAAATGGTTGCAGAAATGGAGCTTCTGCCAACAGGGCTGGAGATCAGTTTGGGCATGCAGCCTCTATTTGTGACCCTCTTCAAGTGCTCAGGTTTTAAGAGGACAGTATGTTTCTTTTTGTAAACTAGCAAAACACTCAAGCTCACGTCTGTCAAGGGAGGCAGTTTAAAGAGATCAAACCCTGCTATTAATCAACCTGGGTTTCAACCCTGAAATGCCAGCTCCAGCATCTCTTTGCTCTGCCTTCAGCATCAAGCATCTCACTGTGCACGCTGAGGGTCGCTCCAGAAGAGCCAATTTATTGCAGACTCAAAACTCACAGCCTCACGCAGGAAAATCCTGATATGCTCCTAGAATCTGGAAGCATCTCTCTAAATGGGACTTATGTGTATATCAGCTATTCTGAATATACCTAGCCTAGTTTTGCTCACCTAAGAATACAGGCCAGAGCAATTCCAGTTTGTTAGTACAGATTTAAACCAGCATAACGCAGAGAACAACTCCAGCCCCGAACATCAGACATCCACATAAACACCCGCCCAGACACCCGAGCTAATCCCTGGCGTTACCTTTAAGAAGTGGGAACACAAACCACAAATCTCCGATAACAATCTCATCTCCACAGTGCCACGCTGAGCAATCAATACTAATTATGAAGAAATATCTGAGCATATGAGAGGCGCCACTATTGCCACATGAAGCAGGGCTTCAAAGTTTAAAACAAGTGCTGCTGACAGCTAAAACGGAGACTCCCACATTACCAGCACTTTGGTGGTAATGACAGTGGGCTAATAGAATCAAAGACTCATAATGCTGTCAGAAAGCAGGTTCAGGTTACTCGCTTGTTCTTAAGCTGTTATTAGCTATTATTAGCGAAGAGGAAAAACACAGGGGCTTAAACTTTTTAAAAGCAGAGGATTATCAGCCCTTCCACTATTAAAAACAATTTCTCACTTTACGAACTTTTGGGGCTGGCAGCTATTTCATTTGAGCGTATAACTAGCTGCCCTCTTCTGCCTCCCTGCTGCCCCTTGAACTCAAAAGCATTTTAATGTCACTTAAAAAAAAACAGAGAAAGTAACGTTTCTAACAACCTGCAGTTCCTTGGATAGTTCCAATAATCATACCTAGTTAAAGAAAGCCTTTCAAGGGCCAAATACTTCTTTAACCATTTAATTGATATGACCTTGAAGCATTCACAGCAATCTCCAGTAACTTCAATGAAAAGCAGATGTTGGTGAAGGCTTGCTGAAACGAGCTTTTATTCTCACGATGGTCTGATTCTCTCACTTACACAAAATCCTATTTCTGGCATGAGAAAGCCCTTTATGGATTGGATGTGATTTACAATCACTAACATCTCTGTGCTTGGTTTTCAGACAGAGCCCCTTACTTTTTGAGGGAACTCAACTTTGGGAGGCAAGGACCTACTGTTCAGGGATGCTCGAAAAATCTCCAGCAGTGCAAGGGCAAAGGAACGTTTTCAAAACCTTAGGGTTAATTCTGAAAATGCAGGCTTTTAATCTGTGTGATCAGGAGGCTTTCTATCTGCTCACAGTGATGAGCATCCATCTACCAATACAGCAGCCTGAAATCACGGAGATGATCTTAGTGTTAGCGGTTAGCTATCTGGGAACAACAGATTTTTCTGGCCCTCTGTTTAGTGATCCAGACTCGGACAACTTGCATCTCTTCTGTCCTACTGTCCCAATCATGGAAAATATGGCCAAGCAAATGACAGCATGTGCTTTGCTAACACAGCACTTGTTTGCAATATATGAATCCCAACAAGTACCTTTGATGAAGCACATATTTGAGATATACACAGTTGATAGATGAACTACTTCTGAAACAAACAAGTAATTTGTGATAACCAGGATGGAGGGAAGAGATTTATCAGCTACAACAGGGACACAGTTTTCAGGAACCTCCAGCTTTTACATGCAATTTTGCCGCTGATTTGTCACATAAAGTGGAAAAAGTCACTTAACCTCCCTGAGCCACAGTTCACTCACTCACAAAAGACTTCAAAGGCACATGTAGCATTGCATCTATTTGAGTGTTAAGGGGGATTTGGGGTTTAATCTGACTAGCACCGTTTCTAAGTCTCTCTCAGTATTAACATCAAGCTTTAACATTTGGTATGGACACGCAAGCATTCTTTGGTTTATTTTGTCAGTCTAATCACTGCCAGGAGTTACCAGGGAGGTAGAGACCTACCAAGTATCGATGAACACAGCACAGCACCAGCTGTGCTGAACATGTGAAGGGGCAAAAATTTAAAAAAAAAAAAAATTCACCGAGACAGGTCTATTTCTGCACGTACCTGTAACTCTGACTGTAAAGTTTCCCAGGACCTCGTTGGAATGCCTTGGCTTGCAACTGTACAGCCCCGAGTCATCATATGACACATTGATTATCTTCAACAGTTTTTGTCCAATATGAGTTCTGTTGGTAGGTGCAATCCCGATACCATCTTTAAACCAGAAAACAGACACAGAAGAGCCTTGGGTGTTACAGGAAAGTTCAATGGTATCTCCACTTCCAAACACCAACTCTTCCAGAAAGGCGGTCTCGCTCCTCAAGTATTCTGCAAAGGGAGAAAGAAATGGAAATGAGTAAATAAGAGCATGTGTTGGAGAACAAAAGAGCATTTAAAAAAGAAACATATCTTATATTTGCCCTACTGATGCTTCCATGTGCCCAGACCTCCTCCTTGCCAGAGGTAAGGCTTGCCCCAGGCAGGTAGCAGTGCAGAAAGACAGCTGTGCACACTACAGTCAGGTCTCTGGCTGATCTACAGGGATGGCCTTAACCCTGTAGCAACCAAAACGTGGCCACCCCACCAGCTGCATCCCAATAAATAGCACAGACCTCTATGCAGGGTCATTGCAACACCCAGTGTTGTGGGGTTTTTGTGATTGGCAGAAATAAGCATGTGCTGAAAAATTCACAGTTCAGTCTCCGGATCTCAGTTTCTTTATTTCTGTCAGTCTGTCCACAACCCCTGTGAGACCCAGCAAGGAGGGGATACAAGGAGCAGAAATGGAGATAAACCCGATTTCTCAAGTGACTCTGGGTGGCCCAAAGGCAACCTCTGTGGGCTGAAGGAAACAAGGGGGAAGGCTGGACAGAAGACACAAGCTGGAATAGCTAAAATAAATGAACCCACCATCTAGCTCCCTGCTGGAGTCACTCTCAGTGCAACAAGGAAGTGCAGAACCAAAGACTGAGCATGAAAGCTGAAACCCCTATTTCTTCGGTCTATCTACCAGATGCGGCAGTCTGTTCCATGAGTGATGACAGTGAACTCTGCCATGGGCTGGAGAATTTTGTTTTACCATAGGATAATGACACAAGGAAAAGGTTCAAGCTCAGAAGTCTCCCCATGGAGGAATGAGGGGCATGTTGAAAGTGTGGTTCTTCGGTCTGATGGTCCTCAGGCTCATTTTAGTGACATATAAACTCACTCTTGACACTGACTGCTTTATTCATCCTTTACACCAGTTTAATAAAGAATTAGCTCTCTACAGCTGCCCTCAACCCAGCCAGATCAACAGCAAGACTGCCATTCTCCCCACCTTGTCTGTGCTAACCAACATTTTCACTTGGCATTGCCCTAACTCTGTCTTCTGGCTTGCACCAGCTCTGAGATGATACGCTCCACCAAGCGTAAGAGTCTCCTTGGTTTTGTACAATACGTATCACGGGGGATCCTATTTATGATGAAGACACTTTGATGCTATGATTACATAATTAGCAACTAAAAAGTAATTCAAAACAGATTGATTTGAACCTAATCCTATGATCCAAACCCAGGTGGCCTGAGTTGATCTCCAATAGTAATCAGATATGCATAGAGAACCTGATTTTGCAGCTTAAGCATATTCATAGATTACAATTTGACTGTGAACCCAATACAATTACAGCAGCTCTGAATACCCGAGGATGTGGCATTGGCTTCAAGCTGCTCTTTTGCCATTAAGTGAAAGAGTTGGAGCAGGTTATGAGAGATAAAGGTATTGCTTTTCTCTTCCTGTCATGCAAGTTTTTATTCTTGTGGAAATGTAAAAATTAAAAATATAAAAATGTTTCCGTCAATAGCCTCGCAGGGTAGAAATAAAGAATCTGAGGGGCCTGAAAATGTGGTATTTCATGGGAGGTATGATCTCACAGGAGGCAAAGCCCACACTCATTGGGGTTACAAAGAACCTTTCCTCTGATACCCTGGCAGCAATTCCAACTCAAATATTTTAGGTTTTGGCCAGAATTTTGTGGTATTCATACAGTCAAGGATTTAGGATGGGGTTTTTTTTTTTCTTTTAATGAAAAGATTTTCCCTGAAAGCGTATACTTTCAGTAAAAAGAAGACGACGACAGAGATCCAGCATCTCCTTCCTATCAGACCAGCACTGTCCTGCTGCGACACTGAGTGTTCACCCATGGTCTCTTCCCAACTGGGATATAACCTTGGGGAAAATACGGTTGAGAAATATTCTGGTGTAAGTGTTCCTTTCAGGTTTTTTCCTTCCTTCTTCTAGACTATGAGGATTTTTTCAATGGTACCAACTTTGGCTTCCAATTAAAAAGACCTGTATGCAGCTTTGCACTTGCAGGACTGGGTACTGATCTGTGTTTGTTGACTCTGATGGAAGCTCTTACTAATTTAATCTACTGGAAAACAAACACCATACAGCTGCACAATCCCTCCATACAAAATACACAGTTTTACCCAAGCTGTTTGCCAAATGATCAAGACTTGTATATTTTGGCTTTCGTATCATAAACCTACCAAACAGGAACAAGCCCAAACTAAGCACAAGCCAAACTGTACTCTTTAGCCATTTAAAATGAAATCACTCTTTTTTGCAAGCCATAATGAACCTGGGTTAATGACAAAGCGACAAACTATTTTTATAAACCATAATTAGGGAATGCTGAAATGAAGAGGAAATTCACTTTAGACTCAGAGCAGAATGATGGGGGTCTGAAGCTTCTTCTGTGGAAAGAAGCATCATCTCTTGTTTCTGACAACTTTATTTTGGCGTCTCTGCCCTCAACCCACCCAGCCGGTCTCCAGCAGGTATCATGATGCCTGTTAAATGCAAAGTTCAGTCCTAGTGACTTTATTCCTACTGACTGGGAGTAATATCTGGAAAGACAGAGTGGTGAATTAAAAGGAGAATGTTACTAATAGTTTTAATCTCACTTCTTTAAACAGTTTTTCAAATTTCAGTTTATATGCTTATGGCTTAAAAAATAAACAGGACCCAAAGTGGAGACCTCCACAAAGTACTTAAATGTGCACTTAAGTGCTTAAGCACTTTGCCCAACTGTGACCTTGGCGAACAAAATTTTACTCTTACTATTCCTCAGATAGCTTTCAAATACGATGATAAACCTGAAAGCAGAGACAGTCTCATTTCCATGCCGAGAACAGCTGGAGTTTAAAGCAGGGAACCAGAGCTCACGTCTCCCACTGGGTGCCCAGAGCCCAGCACCTCCTTCCTGCCTTCCAGCTGCAAGAGCTTGGTGTTTCCAACACCTCCTCAACAAGAGACACCAAGACATGAAGGAGACATGAAGTTGCCCCCTCTGAGGCCAAGCATCCAGCCATCAGACTGATCTCCAGAAGTCTGCATCTCCAACCACGTGGCGTGAACAAAGTGGCAGGAGCTGTGCGTGCAGCCTGTGCTTGGGAGGGGTTTAACACCAATGGCCTGAGCCCTCCTGGGGACCTGGGCGAGGGTTTGGCCACCTTCTTCATCCCGCATCTCCCATTGCTAAATCATAAGGAAACCAGTACAGGGGAGCATACGCCACGCTCTCCTGACATGTTTGTGCCTTGCACCTGGACATGCACCTTTGATCGAGGCAGTCAGAAACCTTCCCACTGCAAAGCAGCACTGCCGGAAGGCAGGCTTCGGATTTACTGGAGCTACAAACATACTTCTCCTGGATCTCAGTCCTGAGTCCTAAGAAAACCATCCCCGTTGCTGGCAAACAGCTATCCCCACACGTCCTTTAAAACTTTCTGAAAGCGTTTCTATTGCAAGTCAGGTTGCAAAGGTCCCTCCCAGCTCTCCCAAAGGAAACTCCCCAAATGGGAGTCCCATTTTGATCTAGCTGGCATTAACAGCATCTTTTCAAAATCCACAGTAGACACAGGTATAAATTACTGGGGAGTTAACTTGTGTAGGGGTTACAGGAGCCCACTCCACCACTTGCCAGCAGAGCAGGGATTAATGACTTTACAGCTTTAACGGGTTCTTGGAGAGGAGGAGGCAATCTAGGTTGTGGGCTCCCAAGATATGACTAAAATTCAACCACTTATTAGTTTAGCCAAAGCAGTAATGAGTAGAGAATCACCAAGAGACGCTTCTGATGGAGATCAGCACTTGCAGCATCATCACTGCTGCTCACAGCAAACATGCTACAGAGAAAGACGCAATTTTTAAGCTGTTCAGAGGAGCAAAAAGGCAGCAACTAGCTGGGAAGCACCTTCCACAATGAGAAGCAGCTGGCCCAGCAATACTAGAATGCTTTTGTATGTATTCGCTTATAAGGATAAGATACTTCATCTCCATAGCTGCTTGGCTCATCCCAGCAATAATTCACTTCCTGTGTGGTTCGCAGCTCCAAGTGCTTAAGTGTGTCAGTATTTCCATCAGATGTCTGCTCCTCTTAGACATCAATACTTGTTTCTGGCTGAGCCTGGAAACGTTTTATTTTTGGTTTAACACAAGGAGCTCTCAGGAGCTGCAGCAAAACATGCAGTTTTATTTTTCAGGCATGAAAGGACGAGGAGGTGGAGGGCAGTGGGTTATTCCTGGGCTGCTTATGGCCCCCCAAAAACTTCAAGCCAACCTAGAGCCTGGCTGGTGCCCTCCCCAGTGCCAGGGATGATTTCCAGGTGCTGTGGCAGAAAGCATGGGGGCTGCTCCTGGGTGGCGAAGGCCCACGGTGCCCACAGGAGGCTCGCTGGGGTGGGGGAGCCGGGGGCCCTGCACCACCTTGCAGGGTGCTGGGTCCTGGCCCCAGGACACTCCATCCGGTTATTTCTCTTCACCTGTGTTTTTCCTCCTGGAAGAGCTTTCCACGATTCTGATTTTCCAAGCATCAAAGTGTTTGGGAGCCTCCCAAGGGACTGCTCAGCTGGGGTACGTGCCTCCCCCACCATCATCCTCTTCCTCCAGTCAGCATCCCAAAGCTGGGGCACATCCACCACACAACCAAAACCCCACCGGGACGCCCGCCACAGAGGGCTCAAGGCACATGACCTTCAGTACCACCAGCAAAATACTTCTCACTCCACCTTGAACCCTGGCAATCCCGGAGAGACTTTTTGGGATTGCTTCACAGCCCGGTGGTGGAATGGACTAAGCAGCTCATTTCTAAGTGGATCATATTTTCCCCTTTTCAAGCTGGAGAAGCTGTATTTGGCATATTAAAAAGCAGAAAAATAGCAGCACTCCACGTATTTCTCTCTTCAGGCTAATTCGGAAACGTTTCTTGTTCTATGTATTTTATTACACCAAATCCACCGTGACAGGATATATTATAGGATCACGGAGCAACAACCGTGCCAGA